CATAGAAGTGACTTCTTTTTATTAAAGGCGACTCGACCCTGCGCTATCGCCTGCTTTATATCGCTACTACTCCTTCCGTCCTGACTTATCTGACATCCTAGATACCTAAAATCGGCCACTTCTTCTAATTTTTCGTCTCATATCTCTATATTCGCTTTTTATGCTATATTATACACACAAAAATAAATGTATTTATCATTATTTTTTACAAATATTTCGCCTGAAAACCGGTATCACATTTAAAATTCATAAAAACAAGATTTGAGCAAGCAGTAAATTATTCAAATACTTGAAAAGAATTTGAGAACAAGACAATCTCAAACCAGTTGACCAAGGCGAATAAATTTGGAACTGATTTTTTTTCTGCGAAGATATTATGAAACGAAATGATGATGATATTTAATCTTCTTCTGAAAAAGTAATTCAACATCGTTGCTAAATGCCATCGGCGTTTTCCTTTGCAATAATAATATTGATGCTACCACTGTTGGCCCTTCATCGTCTCTATGAATCTCAGTGCTGTTTCTTTGATCTATCTTTTACACTCGGCAACACTTCTTTGTATACGTGAATTCAATTGGCGAACTTTTCAAATATTTAATTCCAAACTAGTGGAGAAAAACAAAGACAGAACTTTGTACTTAAACTTAATAATCAATATCCAGGAGAGACAAGCAGCTGAATCAGATAATATTTATTAAACTTTCTCAATTCAATTCAAAATACGTCTTATAAAATACAACCCGTCTCAATTTTGACGAATGGTCTGTAATTAATATGTTTCTGAAATAAATACAAGCTTTAGAAGGGTGTTAAGTAGATCCAAAGGGGATTCGAATGGTAACTGAAGCAGGTGGTTAAAGGAGAAAAAATTGTATGAAAACCATACGAAGTTACAATCCAAAGCCAGCCTTAGGCATAAATTGGTAAACTACTTATAGTAAAACATAATCTTTAACGCCAATTGCGATAACAATTACTATTTTACACTGACCTATGTCAGTGAATTTGATATTTTACAGGTAA